ATGTTCTGATCATGACACAGAGTGTGGCTCCTCAGTCCTCCAAACATAGGTAGGCTTCTTGGACCCTTTGCAGTGTTTTATGTGAGAAATAGAAGTCACTGAGCACTTGCTTGATACATAGATGTATATGATAAAACTGATTCCACATACTAGAGGGCCAACATTTTGTACATTATTGCTACAACAGAATATGTATCTTATTGGTACAAAATATATAGAGTAGTTGTTTTGGTTTGTGTCTGGATGTCCCACCAAAGCCTCATGCAGTCATGGGGTGCAGGCTTTTTGGAGGCAGCTAAATCTAGAGTTTGTGATTGTTTCACGATCCAATTCTGGGATTAAGAGTGTGAGTGCTACACCTGCCCCAGGGCAGGTAGCCTGCATACAACATAAAGGACAGGAAGGTTTGTCTTGCTCTCTCCCTGCTTGTTGCTTTGCTACCTTCTGCCCATCATTACTGTCCTCCTCCGTCATATCATCTTGCCTTGGAGCCAGATAACTATAGCTAAAACCTCTAAAACTGTGAGATAAATAAACCTTTCTCCCCTTAACCATGGGTGTGGGGTATTTTGTCTCAGTAACTAGAAAAAAAGTAACTAAGATAATAGTGTACGTACACTTTTAAGTACAAATGAGTCTAAGTCAGTCTTTCATGCTCAGATATATAGGTTGGAAGCTGACTGATTTTGAAGATTCCCAAATCACCCTCCCTTAGGTTGCACGAATCTCTAGAGTTTTATAAGCCCAGCAAAGTGAAAGTGGTCCCTAGCCCAGTCTGTGGTGATTGCTGCAGCCAATGATCTCACTGGTTCTAACATATAGTGCAGATCTAATAGATGAAGTTTTGCTGTTGTTAGGCTGAGTCCCATCAAGGAGACAGATGGTATAATTTCAGCCAGCATTGTGGTGTGGTGTGGTGTGGTGTGGTGTGTTGTGATGAGCAGTCTGTTGCATAAATGACTCAAGAAGTAAAGGGAATGGAGCCTATTGGAAGGCCTGAGTTGGGAAGGCAGCTTCAGTATCAGAACTCTGAGTCTACAGCAGAGGCAGAGCGGCAAGCAAGGAGCTGTTTAAGGAGAAGGCGCCTCTGAGATGCAGTGGGCTTCTGTGCCTTCTGTCGCTGAAGGACTTCTCCCGTCACTCAGCTGCTTCTGTCACATGATTGTAATTAAGTGGAAAGGACATGTTATAACCTGGAACTTTCTCATTTATTACTAATTTCTCATCGTTCACAGTTTATTAGAATGAGAATAAATACCTGTCTTGCTCACTGGAGCAAGAGCACAGAACCTAAGGCACACAGCAAGTACTCTGTCAATAAGAGCTGACTGAGCAAATGTACACAGGTGCCCCGATGGTGTTGGGGTTATGGCTCTGTAAACCCATGGTAAGCTTAAAATATCATGAACTGAAAATTCATTCAGTACAACCAACTGTCAAAGCTTAGGTAGCCTTGCGTTAACATGCTCAGAACTTACATTAGCCTGTTTTTGGACAACTCCATCTCACATAAAGCCTATTTTATAATGAGATGTTGAAGGACTCATGGATACCTCATGAATATTTTACAATGAGATGTTGAAGGACTCAAAGATTCAAGGACTTTGAATACCAGTATCTTAAAATGCTGATAACACAGTGCACTTGAGTGTTGAAAGTACCCCCAAATCAGAACAGTGAGAGGGATGAGAGGAAGCACTCTAGGATTTTTTTTGTTTGAAAAAGGCTGCATTGTACAATTATCTGGGTAGGTACTGATTACTGACAATACTGCCTGCTGAAATTAACAAATTACATTTGCTGCAATGCATTGCAGGTAAAAGTTACAAGGGAGCATAATGATGCTCATCACTGCACTATGTGTTCATCTTGCCAAGGAACTTCGAAGTCTACTATTTCATTTTACCTTACAATGGCTTAAATTATTATAAAATTGTACTTTTAGCAGGTTGTAGAGTCAGGTATATCTAAGAATGTTTGTGATCACAACAGAAAAGTCAGCATAGTTGTGTATGGCGAGAAGGAAGTTGAGTTACCCTTCAAAATATCTAGCAGCAAATCAGAAGTGGAGAAAGAGTGAATTCTACACATTTGAACCCTCGGCTGTCTAATTCCCTTGGGATTTCAGACTCCGCTCATAACAGCGAGCGTCTGGCATCTACTGAACCTGCAAGCTGTATTCATTATAGCGAAGAGTGAGTGGCAGAGCGCTTCAGCTTTCACTGGTGGCTGGGATTAAGACCGTGCTAGTAATTAGCTGTAACTCATTTGCTTCTGCAATTACCCACAATTATTCATAATCTCAAGGGTAATGGAACACACAACACACTTGGCCCATGCCGCCTTTTGGGGACTGACCCTCGGGTGAGAGGTCATTCTAGGCAGGAGGAGGAGTGGGCAGGCAGCCATCAGTAGGTCTGGCAGCCAACATGTGAAAATAATTTACCACAGATACCATACAGAAGTTGTGCATATGGGGAAAGCTTTTAATTTTCTTAACAGTACACAGTTTTTCAGCTTGTGAATTGTTTAAAAAGAATGCTCTGGAAAACAATATGCAAGCTTTCCTTAGAGCACGCACTCAGAGGCGGTTTGTACAGAAACCATGTGTGTATCCTGGGAAGAAAGCCATGAGGGAGAAGGGGATGCCTGTGGGGTACTAACGCAGCCAAGAGGGTCTTGGGAGGGACTTGGCAGCAGTGATGGACACTGCTCTATATGGCTGAGGTGGCCCACAGAGGACACTGTCATAGCAGGCAGCAGTTTGGAAGAGGGGTGACCACATAATGATTACCAGGATCACAGGAGGACATGATCGCAGGAGGACATGTCTGTTTGGGGCTTTGTCTTTTGTGAATTATTTCTAAACTAGTTTTGCAGCTTGCATTTATCTTCTTATCATAGTCTTTAGGAGTAGAGTGACATTAAACTGAATCATGATCTGGCTGCATTACACGTGGGATGGGAAAGTTACTGCCTCTTCTGTGCCTCAGTTTCTTCCTCTGTAAGCGACATGATAATCAGTACCATTTCATCATGAAGTGACGGAGGCACTGAACAAAGCCATATGCATAGCACTTAGTACGTGTGTCATGTGTCCTTGTCATTATTATTAATGTCATAACTTTCAAAATGAAATGTGCTGTCCTATTATTCCACATAATTGCTCAGCGGCTGGGTCATTTTCATTTGACAAGTTCGAAACAGAGCCCCAGAAAGCTGTGTGGTACACTGATGTTTAGACTATGGAAACATAGGTTAAGCCAGAACTCACAACCCTGGGTGATCATTTCTTGCATTTAAAGGACTCAGTGATTTATGGTAATGGCATTAAATATATGCTACAGTCAGCTGGCACTTTATGCTTTCTTCATATGTACCTGTCACTGATACATCTCTTTCCCTCGAGTTCCTTGAGCTATGCCTACAACTTCTCAGTAGTCATTCTACTTAATTGCTGGGTCAGAGCAGCAAACCTGCTAACATATTATATTGATTCTTTTACTTAGACGTATATGCACATGCAAATATATTTACATTGTTACCTACATGTATGCAAATTCATACTAAGTTCATGAGTTCATTCTCATGTCTTTGATCCCAGTCTAGAGCACAAGTTCAATCCAGTTTCTACTTTTCCTTAGTGATAATTTCTTCCTCTAATAGGTTTGCTTATCAAAGAGTAAAGTAAATGGCTGTAAATTCATTCCTTTTAGCCTCACTTCAGTCAAGTCAGTCTCAGAGCTCACCTAGGTTCTGAGGGAGGAAATATATACCTTGCCTCTTTTTAAAAGCAGTTGCTAATTTATGTTATATCATGCATGGGAAACTTTGTAGCAAAAGGTTTCAAACTACTCTGTATAGTAGGGGTTTTCAGCTCTGTTTCCCACAAATATTCCACAAGAACCAACCAGTGCTGTCCCATCTTTCCCTGACCCCCCTGCTCGGCAAACCCCAGGGCAGCTCATCACCCCTTCCACTACTACAGGCTTCCAGGTTTGCTCTGGCTCAGGCGGAAGTAGGGATTTAAATAGAGAAAGAAGCTTATACATTATTTCACGCTGACCTTGCTTTTGAAACCTGAAGAAATACTTAGAAAAGCTTTGGGATATTTCTGGTGTCTCATCTGAGTCAGAGAAGAATGATTAAGTAAAATTTGGTGGTATTTATCACAAATAAAGCTATAATGTCCAATTTCATCAATCTAAGACATTTTCCATTTTATGTGCATCTTGGGAATTGGCAGATGCATTGTAGCACCATGAGTACATGTGTGGTTATTTCTTCCCTCTCTCCTTCCCTGTTATTGTCTATACTCTATACTATATCTCACAACCAGAGCTGAGGGATTAAACAAATGTGCTTGTTTAAAGCAGTGTTCCTGACTTGAGTATGAGATTTTTCCACTGAAAAACTGCTTCTTAACAAGGTATGCTGTTCAGATGTTAACAGATGTTATATGGTAACAGATATAAAACTGTTCCCTAATTTCTTTGGTGGTGTCAAGTTAGCTATCTCATACATCAAGCTAAGAAGTAGAAAGCTAAGTTTCCATATCTTTAGCTATTTTTGAACTTATCTTAAAAACAAATGTTATCTTTTAGGCAAAAACACTTTTGGGATGTTTCCAGAGAGGGAAAGGAAACAGAAGTCCATTTCTGTAGGTAAAAAATGGAAACAAACTGATGAACTGTTCTATTCTCATTCTCCTCCCTATCCTCTCTTCCTCCCTTCCTCCCTCTCCTTCTCTCTTTCTCTGTGTGACAGACACCAAAGATGTCTTCCCGTTTTGGCCAGCATCCTGTAAGTTTTCACTTTATGTGATTTGAAAGAGGAGAGCTAGAAAGTCTTGCAGGGTGAAGTTTCTGGTGGAAAGGTTGACAGGCTCTTGACTGCAAGTCAAGTGTGCTGCCAGGCGCCACCATAATAAAGGTGGCAGGCATCCAGGAGCACTCGCAGCTGCATGCCAGAACTTTATTAAATATCTAACTATAGTTTGTAGGCCCTGGTCAGCTTGTAATTCATTCCTGGCTGACACATTTCAGTTTTTAATTAGTTTAGTACTAATGTGGGCCTAGCTTTTTGATTCTTTTCCTGTAAAACAGAAATGTTTCAAAAGACGATGTTCTTCATTTGGCAGTTGGAGAAATGGAAGAGGTGGGATTCTCCAGGCACATGTGGACGGCTGGAGCCGATGCGGTAGGTTTAGATTTCTTCTGCCACCTCACAGAGGAGCATGCACATTGCATTTCAGTCTAGGGTATCAGTCTCTTCCCTCACAAAACTGTGTATTTCCTTTGACCTACTAATGCATAAAAATGATCACCTGTCCTGCCTGGCCTCTCTGTTTATGGATCAAGGTGGATAGATGCCTCTGCCTCATGGTGTGAGTGGGGTGTACACAGAGTACACATTGCTACAGCAGCCAGCAACTACTCACATTGGTCACTGCTCCCTGGAGCTGCTGTGATGGCTTTGCAATGGGTGCTTTTGGAAGGGAACTGTATTTTCAAGATCTTTCTGCACATTTCTGTAGGCTCCGGGGGAAGCGGAGGTGACCTGCAGTGAAGACTGCTCCCCGGAGCCCTAGATGCTAGAGCTGGTGCAGATACTGCACGTGCTTGTTTGCTGACACTTTCATCTCATTGGCTCTTCTGCCACTCCCGGGCCAGGTGTGCATTTGCTCTGCGACAAAAGGGGCCAGAGTTCAATCATTTCACTTTGGTCCACTGCCCTGGCTTCTGGATCACTGTCACTGGTTCAGTTTGCCTTGCTCCCCACTTTTTGACGTCCATCTGTCTTCTCCTACTGCCTTCGCAGCCAGCTTTGGGGCCCACACAGCACAAAGACCACAGCCTTCCACAGGCTTTTGACCCCTCCCCATGTGAGCCAAACCCTGTAACAAATCCCTTATTTTACAGCACTCGGTGAGTTTACCCCTGTGCTCTCTCTCTGTCCCATGCAGCTGCACAGTGCTTGGCAACCTCAGCCTAGAAGAGTGCCCGGGACGCAGCCAGTCCCTTCTGCCTGGGAGAGCAGGCATCCCTGCTTTCTTTTCACAGCCTATGAAACCATGAGCAGTGGCGTGCAGTGACTTGATCTGGTTAGCAAACGCCAGGGACTAGATTTGAATTTGGACTTCCTGAGGCCACACCCAGAGTGCCATGACTGGACACTGCATAAATTAGAACCAAAAGATACAACACATTAGAAGCTGCTCCATGTCCCCAGGAATCAGGGACACGCAACAGTCAGACCCCAGTGAGACATAACTGACCAAAGGTTTTCATTCCTCTGCTTACTTTTTTCCCCCCAAAGTTAAAGTGGTTTATAGCCAGGTGTGGTGGAGCAGACCTGTAATCTCAGCACTCAGGAGGCTGAGGCAGAAAGATCACTGTACGTTCAAGGCCAGCCTGGGCTACAAAGTGAGTTCAAGGCCAGCCTGAACTGCATAGTGAGACTCTGTCTCAAAAACAAAAACAAAAAACAAAAAAATAAAGTTCATTATTATTTGTTTTAAAATAAAATTGCAATACAGAAATTTCATCTCCATGGCAGAGTAACCTCCCTGGATGATGTGCTAACTACTTTTTAAGAACTTAACAAGATTTTGGGTGTGTGTGCATGTACTTATTTGTTCTTTGGCTAGAAATAGGTTTTTTTCCAAATACATTTTATTTCAAAGAAAAAAATGAAGAAAAAAGAGAAACTAAAACAAAATTTCAAAACACGTCAATCAGGTGACAACAATGGTGCATACATTACACATTGTCATCCCCAAATCATTCGCCTTGAGCTTACAATTCTCCAAACAATACAAGAACAACTCTTTCTCTTCGTTGAACTCAGAGAAATCAGTAATATAACTATCTTAACTATTTATACATATATATATATATATATATATATATATACATATACATATGCTGTTACTTTCAGCTTCTCACACTAGTGAGGCAATATGATGTTTACACATGTGTCTCATTTATTTCACTAATGAGTATGGTGTTAAGTTGCATTCATTTACCTACAAAAGTCTCTAGTTCATCCTTATTTATGACTGAGTAGTACTCCATTGTATAAAAATACCGTATCTTTTTATCCATCCCTCAGTCATTATTTCCAAGATTATTTAGGTTATTTCCAAGATCTGGCTATTAAAAATTGTGCTGCTGTAAATATGGGAGCACATATATCACTGCGGTATGATGTTTTTAATTCTTTTGGGACAATACCTAGAAGGGGAATAGCTGGGTCGAATGGAACCTCTAGTCCTACTTTTTGAGGAATCTCCACAGTGATTTCCACAATGGTTGCACCAGTCTGCACTGCAACCAACAGTGGAGAAGGGTCCCTTTTTCCCCACAGCCCCGCCAACATTTGTTACTGCTTAATTTCTTGATAACAGCCATTCTTTCTGAGGAAGAATCTCAGTGTTGTTTTAATTTGCATCTCTCTAATGACCAGTGATGTTGAACATTTTTTGATGTATTTATTTGCTGTTCATACTTCTTCATCTGAGAAGTGTGTATTCATTTCAGATGCTCATTTTTGGATTAGGTCTTTAAGTCTGGGAGGACTGGTTTTGAGTTCTTTATATGTTATTGATAGTAATCCTTTATCTAAGGAACAGCTGGTAAAAATTGGCTCCCACCTTGTGGCTTGTCTCTTCACTCTGTTGGTGGTTTTCCTTGCTGTGCAAAAGCTTTTCAACAGGATGAGATCCCAGTTGTTGGTTCTTTGTGATAGTTCCTGTGCAATCAGGGTTTTGTTCATAAAATCTTTGCCTACACTAATCAATGTCGTCAGGAGTTTTACCTACTTTCTCTTCCAGAAGATTTAATGTTTCTGTTTTAATATTAAGATCTTTGATCCATTCTGATTTTAACTTAATGCATGGTGAAAGATATAGGTCAAGTTTTAATTTTCAGTATGTGTAGAGCTAGGTTTTCCAGAACCATTTATTAAAGAGGCTATCTTTCTTCCAGTGAATGTGTTCAGACACTTTGTCAAAGATAAGGTGACTTAGTGTGTCTGGAGTTGTTTCTGCATCTTCTAATCTGTTCCATTTATCTTTGAGTCTGTTTTTTGTCACTACCATACTATTTTTACTACTGTGGCTTTATAGTATAATTTCAAGTCAGGGATTGTGATGCCCTCTGTTGCTCTGCCCTTTGTTGCTCAGGATTGCCTTTGCTATTCTAGGTCTCTTTGGGTTCCAGATGAATTTTAGGATTGTTTTCTCTAATTCTGTGAGATATGTTATTGGAATTTTGATTGGGATTGCATTGAATCTGCATAACAGTTTTAGAAATATAGCCATTTCCACTATATTGGTTCTTCCTACCCAATAGCGTGGGATATCTCTCCATTTTCTAATATCCTCTTCAATCTCCTTTTTCAGAGTACTATCATTTTCAATATGGAGGCATTTTATATCCTTCATTAGATGAAGTTCTAGCTATTTCATTTTGGAGGGATGCTATTATCAAAGTTGTTATTTCCCTGATTTCTCTCTTGATGAGTTTGTTATTGGTGTATAGAAAGACTATTGATTTTTTTTTTTTTTTTTGGTATTGGATACTGAACTCACAACCTTGTGCTTGCCAGACAGGCACTTATGTCACTGAACTAAATCCCCGGCCCAAGGCTATCGATTTTTGAATGTTGACCTCGTATCCAGATATGATACTGAATTTGCTTATTAAATTTAGTATTTTTTGGTAGAGTTTTTGGAGTCTTCTAAGTAGAGTATCATGTCATCTGCAAATAATGATAGTTTAACTTCTTCCTTTCCTATGTTTATTCATTTTATTTCTTTCTCTTGTCTAATTGCCTCAGCTAAAGTTTCCAGGACTATGTTGAATAAGAGCGGAGACAGTATACATCCTTGTCTTGTTCCTGATTTTAGAAAGAAAGCTTTCAGTTTTTGTCTATTTACTATGATGTTGACTGTTGTGTTTTCATAGATGGATTTTATCAGATTGAGATAAAGACCATTTATTCCAATTTTCTGTAGGGTTTTTAATCATGAATCGGTGCTGGACTTTGTCAAAAGCTTTTTCTGCATCTTCTGAGATGATCATATGATTTTTGTCCTTGGTTTTGTTAATATGGTATATTACATTTCTGTATTTACATATGTTGAACCATCCCTGAGATGAATCCCATTTGATCAGGTGTACAATCTTCTTGACAATTTGCTGCAGTCTGTTTGACAGTATCTTATTAATGATTTTTGCATCAATGTTCATTAGGGAAATTGGCCTGTAATTCTTGTTCTTAGTTGGGTCCTTCTCTGGTTTTCATATTAGAGTAATGCTTGCTGCTAGGAATGAAGTGGAAGTATTGCTTCTATTTCAGTTTCATTAAAGATTTGAGAAGCATAAGCTTTTCTCTAGATATCTTGTAGAATTCAGCAGTGAATCCATCAGGGTCTAGGCTTTTCTTTCTTGGTAGGTATATTTTTATTTTTATTTTTTTATTTTGAAAGTATACAACAGAACAAGTCAGAATAAAGCCAACTCAGATCGTATAGTAAAACTGGTACAGAACTTCACAGCAGGTTACTGGGATAACAGTAATAGGTATCACAGTATATTTTGTTATCTTTATAATAGTTGTTCTTTCAGTCACATATATCAAAATGAGATGAAATATAGAATACTATAGAACTTATCAAAACAGAATATTGAATAGAGCAGTACCATTAATTAGAAAAGAGCAAAACAGTAATAAAAATATTTGCCTTCAAAGAAATGGTAGAAGGAAGTCCCCCTTATTTGCTATGGTCAACCTCCCAGGAGATGCTCAGATTTCTGGTTCTTATTTGCTAATGGGTGGGGCGGCGGAGAAGGAGGATAGGAGAAGTGGGATATTTGACTCTAGGCCATGTAGCAGTAGGTTCACTATTGCTAAGCAGGGAGGCAGGATGGTCATTTGTTTTCACAGCGTCCTCAGTTCCAACATGGTGTGGATCTCAGGAGACACTGCTCTGTTAGTAGGTTTTTAATTACATCTTTGATTTCATTGATTATCTTGGTTTATTTAGGATTTTTATATATTGATTTAGCTTTAGTAATTCATATACATCTAGGATGTATATGTCCATTTTTTTCTGTATTTGTCCATTTTTTCTGTATTTTCCATCTTATTAGACTACACATTTTAAAAGTAGGCATAGATGATCTTCTGGATTTCTGCAGGCTCTGTTGTGATTTCATCCTTTTCATTCCTAATTGCATGAATTTGAGTCTTTTCATTCCTTTTTTCAATAAGGTTGGCTAAAGGTTTGTCGATTTTGTTTAATCTCTCAAAACATCTCTTTGATTCATTGATTTTTGTATTGTTTTTTTAGTTTCCAGTGTGTTAATTTCTGCTCTGATCTTTATAATTTCCTCTATAAAAGAAGCTGCTTTTTTTTTTTGGTAGCCAGGATTGAACTCATGACCTTGCACTTGCCAGGCAGGCTTTTAGGCCACTGAGCTAAATCCCCAGCCCCCCTCACATGAGCTTCTGTCTTAGCCTGCTTTTCTTTTTCTAGAAGTCTGAGGTTCAGCATTAAGTTGTTTGTGTGTATTTACTCTGTTTTCCTGGCATGGGTATTTTCTGCTATAAATTTCCCTCTTAAGACTGCTTTCATTGTGTCCCACAAGTTCCAATATATTGCATTTTCATTATCATTCAACTGTAAAAGCTGCCTGATTTCTTCTGTGAACCATTGGTTTATTCAGTAGGATGCTATTTAATGTGTTAATGAAGTTCTTGTGGCTTTCTTTGACATGGATTTGCAATTTCATTGCTCTGTGACCTGATAGTGTTCATAGGATAATTTCAGTTTATTTGCATGTAGTTAAGCATGTAGTGTGAGCCAATGTAGGGCTTATTTTGGAGATCATTCTGTGTGCAGCTGTGAAGTATTCTGATATTGTGGGGTAGAACACTCTATAGACATCTGCCAGGTCTATTTGTTCAAAAGCTTGATTTAGTTTTGATATTTCGTTACTAATTTTTGTCTAGTTGATCTGCCTTTTTGTGATAGTGGGGTATTGGGGTCTCCCAATATAGTTACATTATTTGATTTTTTATGTTTATTAGTAATTATTTTATACAGTTGAGTGCACTGGTATTTGTTGCATATATGTTTGTGATTGTTATCTCTTCCTCTTGAATTGTTCCCTTTATGAGGATGTAGTGACCAGAAGGTCTCTTAATCAGTCTCGGCTTGAAATTTACTTTCTCTGTAAATGGAATGCTGCCTTTACTTTTTTCTGGCTTCCTGTCACATGGAGTATTGTTTTCCATTCTTTGAATTTCAGTCTATGAATTTCTTTTTGAATTAAATGTGTTTCTTGTATATAGCATATTGTTGGATCTTTCTTCTTGATCCATTCTGTCAGTCTATGTCTTTTGACTAGAGAATTGAGACCATTAACATTGATGTTGTAACTGATATATATTGACTTATTCTTGCCATGTTAGTTTCCTGTCGTTGGCTCCCTGTCTTTTTTCCTGCATTCTCTAATTTTTCACTTTCCCTAATGGATTCCTTTTATTGGAGTTCATAGAGCTGTCGTTCTAATTATTTCTTTCTAGAATGTCCTGCAGAATATTTTGAAGTGCTTGTTTGCTGGTCATAAATTTCCTCAGATGTTCTTTGTCATGGAAATATCTTATTTCTCCATCAATTTTGAAAGACAGTTTTGTGAGGCACATCAATCTGGGTTGAAAGTTGTTTTCCTTTGGAGCTTGGAATATTTCACTCAAGCTCTCCTTGACTTGAGAGCTTGTGCTGAGAGGTCAGCTGTAATTCTCATAGGCTTTCCTTTATAGATGATTTGTTTCTTTTGTCTAACAGCTTTTAGGATTCCATTTTTGTTGAATTTCTGGAATCTTGACTATGATATACCTGTCTGTAGATATTTTTTGGTCATTGCTAATTGGAATTCTGTATTACTTATTTATCTGTATGCCAAATTCTTTTTCTGTATCAGGAAATCTTCTGTCATGCTGCCTGCAAATAGTTTTTAATGTCATTTGTGGTATCTCCTGTTTGTTCATTGACTACAATTAACCTTAAGTTATTCTTTTTTGTTTCACATATTAGCCACTGGATTTATTTCTCATGGTCCTTTGCTAACTTTGAGAAATCCTTCTTTTCCTGATCGCTATCTGCAAGCCTGTCCTTAATATCTGAGATCCTGTCCTCATGTTGGCCTAATCTGCTTTGAATACTTTCAGTGGAGTTTCTATTCTCCTGGATATCTGCTTGAATCTGCTTTATGGATTCCATTTCTTTCCTGTGCTGGGCTTCCATAATTTGCTCAAGCTGGTCTTTTTTCTTGTCTGTGTTTGCTGTAATATGGCTAAGCATGGTATGTATGTTGGTAATCTCTGTAGCCATCTGAGAGATTATTTCTCATTTCAGTGTTTCCAGATCCTCATTCAATTGCTTTGTAGTTTCCTCTTCAGAGAGGCCTGGTGGGTGGCTTTCAGATTGTCCTCCTCACTGTCCTCTGGATTTGCTTTTGGTTAACTTGTTGTCTGGGCTTGCATTTTGCTTCAGTGTCTTCTCATTTTATTTTATCTCTCTTTTAAGTTTAATTCTTGAGGTGATGCTTGTAAGTTGCCTATGGTGGGTTGCTTTAGTGGTAGTTTTAGGACCCTTAGATGATGACTATTTCTCTGAGATATCTCCAGGTGGTTTTTGGGTTTTGAATCTATTGGAAGATCTTACCTCTTCAGTTTGTTGGAGATGAGAAGTTATTGCTTGTTTGACCTAGTCTCTGGTTCTTTGGCACCGTGCCACCATATTTTTTGTGACCTTTAGTCAATCTCAGTCACGGAATACCAGGACCAACAGCTGGTTAGAACAATATGTCAATTTTTGTTATAGTGGTACCAGTACATCAAACACAATGTATCAAATGACAAACTGAGCTAATCCTTAATTTGCAAGTTTTAATAGTATGAGCTAGATTTGTGATTATATAACAAAATGTAAAACAGACCAGATAATTATATGCAGTAGATAAGTGCTTAATGTATCAATTTTGACCTGGGGGGGGGGTTAAACTTTAAAGTGGGATTAAGGAGAAAATAGAGCATTGGAAGAAGTAAGGTTGGAGGACAAAGAGGGAAGTTATGCTAACTTTGGAAAACTGGTGCAGAAGGAAAAGAAATGGAAGAGATAAAAGGAAGAACTGAACAGAACCACATCTACAAAGAAGTTAGGAATCACTTTCACACTTATAGAAAAAAGTAAAGGAGAAATAGAAAAAGAAAAAAATTAAAATTAAAAACAAAGAACAACAACAAAACCAAAAACTACAACAAATTTAAAAAAGGAAAAATCAAACAAACAAACAAACAAAACAGTCCAATTCCAAGATTCTCTCTGCTTTCACTAGCAAATGACCTGTGGAGACAGAGTCCTGAATCAGGCTAATATACCCTGGAAAGCCAGCAGTACATTTCTGCAGGGTAGTAGGTAATCTCAGCAATCCTGCCCCGAGACTAGAGTCACTGGGCTTGCCACAGTCCAAGCAATTTCCTTGGGTCCTGAGCCCAGCTGAGAGCTGCTAGATGAGGCCTGGGGATTAGTTTAGTGGCACAAGTGCCTGCATGGCAAGCTGGTAGCTTGCTGTTCAGGGTTCCAACCTCAGCCAGCCCAGCTCCAAGATGGCACCTGGCTAACTGCTCTCTCCTGCAGGAGGACTGAGTGCTCTGCACTCACCACCAGCCAGTGCAGTCCTCCAGTGCTTAGTGCTCTCCTCCATGGCTGTGTCTCTCTGTAGAGGATTCCAAGGTCAGCATTCATCACGGTTACTGTGACCATGTGCCCCAGTTCCAACAGCTCCGTTTGCTCAGTGAGTCCCCTCTCAGGTCAAAGACGCCACTGGTTACCACGTTCTTATTCGCTGGAGTTTTTGTTCTCTTTGTGGGCTTTAATTTGAACTTCAGACTCTTCCCGGGTCCAGGGGACCCACTTCCTTCCTTCTTATCTTCCTCAGGATGCTGTATTCCGGCATCTGGACGGTGACTCTCAGAGAGGCTCTTTTCCCTGCTGCTTACTGCTTCACCATCTTCCTGGAAGTCCCAATAGTTTTCAGCGATTGATATGAGCAATAGTCTCCTCATGGGAAAAAGAATAACAATGAGACTTTGCATTGTGAGTAACTTGTTCTGGAAGTATTCCACAAGATGAGCAAACATTTCAAACACTTCTAAAAATTTTTAACTAGATAAGTGAATGATGTGTATGTAATACGAGCAACACTTGGTGCCAAAGTTCACATAATCATAACTGAGCCAGTAGTTTTGTCCTGTCTGTCTCTCTGTCTGTTTGTCTCTCTTTCCTCTCCCCACTTGCTGTAGGGAGTTGTGGGTGGAGGAGGAGATCTCACTTGTGGAAGGAAAGAAGAAAAAGCAGAGGAATCTTTCACTTCAAAAGAGATTAGAGAGAAGTGTACAATGTGGGAAAATGTAAAATTCTCTGAATAGGGAAAAGCACCACCTGAATAAGGCTGTAGAAGTGTGAGCAATGAATTCTGATAACAATGTAATGTCACATTTCCAGGGAATCCTCAAAAGGAGGTAAAAGCAAGTGTCACTGGGTAGGTTCTTTGTTAAAATTGCATGAAAAGAAAGACATTCTACTGAACCCAACAGACAGCAGTGATTCTGTTAGTGATAGCGAAAGTCATACTGCACAGTAGGCCTCCTCTCCTGTCTTCAGCACACCAGCCATGAAGGTTTGCAAGGGGAAGTGCAGGTTAGTTTATTATTTTTCTTTGTGTTTTATATTTTCATTATTATTTTGCATCATATTTCACTATTGTAATCATCTTTATATGAATTTTTGGGGACATTGAATGTATCAACTGATTTTCTATTATTTCTTAGGAGGAGATTTGCTTTAATTTACAAGTGCTTTGGGTTACAACCATGTTTGTGGAGTGAATTATGCTTGTGATTAACAATTACATATTATTGTTAACAGCATACTACTGGGCTCCTTCTCAGGGTCTCTTCCAGACTCTTGTGCTCCTGAACAGAGGATTGGACAGGAAATGAAGTGGCAGAGTTTACATTTATTCGAGGTATTAAAGGTAAGAAAAAGGATGAAGAAGTGTTCTGAAAAGATGTGCTCTGCAGGTGAGTATGGGCCAATTAAAGTAGGAAAGGAATAATGTTCTCTGTGAGATGAGCCCCTGAGAAAGAAAAGCCATGTCCACAAGGTCAATGGCCATAGTCTTTAGTACCTCCATTCTGACATCAGATCTTAGCCGTCCTGTCAAAAACCTGCTTGATTTGTACCAGAAAAGCTGAAGACAGCATTCTCTGATTGGTACGAGATGTGGCGCTCTCCATGATTGCTGGGTCACACCTGCTCACCCAGTTACTTTGCCATGCCCTAATCCCCTACCTCCTTATGGGGAGCTGGTATCAAACATCCACCTGGGAGGATGATTTGGTTTTTATTGAAGTTTAAAGGATTCATGTGCATGACCCAGCAAATTCATTTGCACTATCCACTACAGCACACATCTCCTGGGTGCACAAAGAGGCATTTTTAGAACTATTCAGTAGGAAAAAAAAAAAGAAAGCAAGCAAGCATGCATTAGCATGGCTAAAGCACGGTGGTTCATCCACCTTCAGGAGGAGGGAAATCTATGTACTCTAGTGTGGACAGCATTTCATAAGTACCGTGGCATGAATAAGAAACAAATCATAGACTAAGTTTAGTAGAGTATAATTCAAGTGAAAACACAAATTAAGTAGGGCTATATATTTTCCATGAACAAACATGTCCGTAAAAGATGTTTTGTTAAATTGAGAAGCTAAGAATGATTAGGAGAGGAAGTTGGGGTTGGAAGTGATAGGTTGAATTTAACATAATGGCTTATTTCTTTTATAAAGAAAAAAAGAATTCACTCCATATGTAATTTGTTACCTGTATAATTAATTTTTGCTTTAAAAAATAAAGGAATATGTCTAAAAGAAGAGTTACAGTTTTCACTGTGTATTAAAAGAGGAAGGGCATATTTGAAATAATTTGGTTAACACTTTCATTTTATAGAGGAGGAAATTGGTGCCCAGAGAGGAAATGATTGGATAAAAGCAAATCCTCAGAGTGCCCCAGAAAAATTAGTAACTGAGTTTCTGGATTTAACTGCCAGTAATCTCAGGAGACACTTTGGTGGAACCAGAGTGTATTTTAAAGAACCATGGAGAGGACTTTCTGGGCAAGTCAGATCCACCCATGGTGTCTGCAGTGTGGTCTACTACAATGCTGCTGCTGATTCTGTCAGGATCATGCCAACACCTTATTATTACCTTTGATGCTTACAATATCTTGCTAATGCTATGAGGTTTTACAAAGTTTTTAGCCTTTGTTGCCTGAGGACACTTACTTTCTCTATAGCATGTTCAAAAACACCTTGATCTTTGTTCTTGTTCAACATGATCCCTACTTGTACAATTTTCCTGGAACAGAAAATTCAGTCAGGTCCCTGCACAACAGTCTTTAAACCAACAGCAATGTATTAGCAGCAAATTCTGAGTTCATTTTTGTAATGCTCCTTAAAGGAAGGAATTAGTTCTGCAATTGCATTTTGATTCTTAAAGCTGGGAAATAACCCAGCAGGCGTTAGTTCCTTTGGCCAGTGGCCTAACCCAGTGGTTCTAGAGATTTGCTTGATGGGTAGAATCTAGTGGCATCCTACTGTGCAGTCATCATTTAAGTCCTGAATACATATCCCCAACTTCGGATGTCTTTTCTTAGTCCCTGACCTACACTTCTCTCTCTTCCAGGTGTTTGGGGATCATCTGTTTGCGTTGTGATAGCCTCAGCGTTGTAAGCGGAGGGAGAGCTGAGAGAGCTGCGTGTTGGTGGGAACCTGCTATCCCTTTGGCACTCTGCTCTGGGGGATCTCAGGGTCTTGCATCACTTCCATTTCCACAATCTTTCCATCACAGTTCCTAATACGGTACCACAATGTGGTAACTGCACCAAACCACTGGAAAGATGCCACTGACAGAGACTGTACTTAGAAGAACAATAGCTTTTCTCAGGGCCCCTCACCCTCCCTCACTGTGTGACTGCCTCATGTCCTCTGCCTCTTGCACAAGAGTCTTTCCATGACTACAGTGTCCTCCTCTACCACTCTTTTCTTAAGAACAGAGCTGTCATGGACGCTTCCAGGAACCATTCTTCTTGAGCCCTTGTCTTAAACATGGTTTCATGATGCAGAAATAAAGGCACTTGAGCTATCATAACTAGTTACAGGTCTCATGACATATAGTATCCCATGTGCATAAGTTTCACTCTCCTCTCCTGCAAATGTATCTACTTTGTTCTGTACTTGGTACTTGGGGTATAGTGGTGCATTGTGTACCCTCTTTATCTTCTGAAAATCAGAGAAAGGGACATCACAGCATTTACTCCTGTCTATGCCAAATCTCAGATGAACCAGAATCCAAGGCCATTTGTTATCAGTTCCCTCCAAGTCTCAGTTTTTTAAGTTAATATTTCTAAGCTCTGGCTTGACACATAAAAACACACACCACAGATGTTACTCATATTCTTCAATTTACTGAAAAGAAAAATACTCAAGCTTACTATGTTACCAGAACTGAAGTAAACATTGGCAACAAAAATGGAAGGAAGGGCTGAGCAGCTGGCTTAATATTTTTCCATTTCAATTCCAAAATGTGCATCATATGAAATCATCTGACACCAAAATATCAGATCATCATAGTCATCCCAAAGTTTTATCTTTAGAGTTTTATGTTTTGTGTGATAGTGCATGCTGTGTGTGTGTGTGTGTGTGTGTGTGTGTGTGTGTGTGTGTGTGTGAAGAGGGGGAGGGAGGGAGAGAGTGAAATCTCAGAGGGTCTGTTGCTTCATTCTTGGACTAATCTAGTAGAAAATGGGTCTCCCACCCTGATTTTAATCTTCTGAAACTTGATTTCCAGAATTGGCATAAAAAAGGGCAAGGGGAGGCTCTCCGGTGATGTGACAGATGAACTTTTGCAGGGAGATGATGGAGAAATGAAAATTAGTTGACACTGGACCAGAGCAGCTTCCTTTACATCTAACAAAATTCATTAAACATGCACAGGGATCTCCTGTGGTCTAGGTACCATGGACAAAAATCAGGAATAAAAAGGCCAGTGAAGGGATCAATATGAGCTTGATGGAGGTGGACAATCACCGACATCTTCTGACCTGCTGTGGGCACTGTGCTGCTGGCAGAGTGAGGGAGGGTTGGCCTGCTCTCTCTGTGCCCGCACAGCCTACCTCCTTGCGCTGTGCAAAGCCCAGGCTCCCCAGGAGAGTAAAAGACACAGGATCTCTGATCTGTACTCACAAGGTCATTCAAGGACTTGAGGCTCCTCTCCCTTTTCTTAAGATGATTATTTTGTGGTGCCCACCATTCTGGTGAGCCCTGAAGTTCATGGTTCACAAAGGGACTCTAAGTTAGCAGCATCAGCCTCTCCTGCAAACTTGGAAAAGCAGATTCTCAGGTTGAATCTCAGAGGTCCTGAAGCCTCAATGATGGGCAGGAAATCTGGGTTTTAGTGGACACAGGGGATCCTAGTGCTCTCTCACGTTCACATCTGAGAGCCCTTCTCTCCAGCCCTCCTGAATGGAAGCCCTGCGGCCTGTAATGCACCACACCCAGGCTTCCTGCAGTTTCACCATCTGCCTGGGAGAGGGTGGGTCTTGGAGGGTCATTTTTCACTTGACTTCCGCATGTCCTCCTTAGCTCTTCCCTGCCCACTTAGACCTTCTGCTGCATTAGTTTAGGCTTTTGCAATTCTTTACTTTATTATCCAACCTATTTTTTTTTTTACTTTTTCCCTTTTTATTTTATTGGTGTACTTTAGATATACACAGTGATCATATTCGTCAGAGGAAATTTGTACCTGTACATGATATAACTTGCTTCTTCTTCTCCCATTTCTATCCTCTCCCTTCAACCCACTTTCCCCTTTTTATTTACAAAAGCTTTGTTTCTATTTTTTCCTTATTTTTTTTTCTTGTCCCTTCTTTTCTCCTTCCCTTGTTCCCCTATTTTCCAATATCCATTATACATTTTGGTCCTTATTTACACTTTCACTTTCTCATGCCACAGAAACAAAGTGATATTTACACATGTGTGTCTGATGTATTTCACTTAAAAGCATGGTCTCAAGGAGCATCCATTTACTTAGAAATGTCTCCAGCTTATCTTTCTTTCTAGCAGAGTACTATTCCTTTGATTAAAAAAACCCCACATCTTTATCCATGCATTGGTTGATGGGCATTTGGACTGTTTCCAAGATTTAGCTATTATAAACTGTGTCTCAATAAACATAAGTGTTCGTACACCATGGTGGTATGATATTTTTAATACTTTCAGGATGATACCAAGAAGAGAAATAGTTGGGTCAAATGGAATCTCTAAACTAAAACTAAAACTAAAACTAAAACTAAAACTAAAACTAAAACTAAAACTAAAACTAAAACTAAAACTAAAACTAAAACTAAAATCTGGTTTTAGTTTCTTGAGCAATCTCCACACTGACTTTCACAGTGGTTGTACTGGTCTACATTACATTCCCACCAACAGTGGAGAAGGGTTCCTTTTCCCCCACAGCCTCACCAGAATTTGTTACTGGTTAATTTCTAGAACATAGCCATTCTTTCTAGAGATAGAAATCTCAGTGTTGTTTTAATTTGCATCTCACGAATAACCAGTGACACTGAACATTTTTTCACATATTTATTTGCTGTTTGTACTTCTTCATCTGAGAAGTGTTTATTCATTTCAGATGCCCATTTTTGAATTGGCTCTTTAAATATGGGGGTTCTGATTGTTTTGAGATTTTTATATATTCTAGATATTAGTCCTTTGTCTGGGGAACAGCTGGCAAACATTCTTTCCCACACTGTGAGTTGACTCTTCACTCTGTTGGTGGTTTCTCTTGCTGTGCAAAAACTTTTTTTTAATAAGATGGGATCCAAATTGTTGATTCTTCATGATAATTCCTGTACAGTTGAGGTTTTGTTCATGAAGTCTTTTCATATACCAATGTCTTCAAGAGTTTTATTTACTCTATCTTCTAGAAGATTTAGCGTTTCTGTTTTAATATTTAGATCTTTGGTCCCTTTTGAAATTAATTTATTGCATGGTGAAAGATGTGAGTCTGGTTTTAACCTTTGACATGCTATTGTTATAAAAATAGCATGGTACTGGCAAAGAAACAGACCCAAGGACCATTGGAACAGACTAAAAAAATGCAGAAACAACTCCAGGTGTACTCAGTCACCTTATCTTTGACAAAGGGGACAAACATGTTCACTGGAAGGAAGATAGCCTCTTTACTAAATGGTGCTGGAAAAACTGGCTATTTTCCTTTTCTATTTTGGTAACCACTATGGTGGGCTGTCTGACCCAGTGTGGGAGCAAAAATAATACTGTAGAGTCCAATTTTATCAGAGGTATCAGAGGATCTATTGTTTGAGCTATAAAAAAATGACGTAAATCTCCTACGTTAGAATTCTCACTTCAGGTTATTGCAAATTAAAAGCAAAACAGCAGGCCCAAAGGCACCTACCACTGTTCTTCTTTTGCTGAAACTAGAATTGCATGCATTTCCTCTTTGGAGGCCAGTGCAAGCCAGCTGTAGTGCCCTCAAATCTGTATCTGGCTTTCCACTTTCCCTATGGTTATGATAGATTTGTGGTGGAGAACCATGCCTTAAAGACATCTGATACTCAGCCACATCTCTCAGGAGCGAGACAGAAGACAGGTTTGGTAAGGGAAAGGTCCCAGAGAGAAGGGAAAGATACTTTTCTGAGCCCTTCTGATTTTACCTCTAATCAGTTCCTGTTTCTCTTTGACTGTTTGCTCCTTTCTGGCCCGTCCTCTATGGATGGGCCTGTGAGTTCCCACTGCTGTCTGGGCTTCACTCTCCACCACAGTCCTCCACCGCCCCTCTACACTCGGCCTCAAGGTGGTTACCACAGAACTATCCCACCAAAACCTCAATGTCAGTGTTTCCAAATGAGGTTTTTGTCTTTACACTTGTTTGTGTCCCTTCTGTCCAGTTTATGCACATTAGTGTAGCTTCAGAAGCCTCCTTCCTGCCATGTGTCTGATGGTCACCCAGTTACACCTGTTTTAGCCTTATTTTGCCTCGTCTCTCTTTTGCTTTGGGCCTGCTCCATGCATTTGGTATTCTTGCCTACATTATCACAATAACCTTTCAGCTGGGTTCTCTTTTAATTTCAAACCAAATTTTGCCTCTTTCACCCCAAATTGCCTTTCTAAAATATAGATTAGGTAATCTCTTTCTTCTTGGTGAAATAGTCCGTGACTCTCCTATACCTGAAAAAAACTCCAGATCCTTGGATGCATGCAAGCGCCCATGGTGAGCCCCACCTTGGCATCTCATCTGGTAACTCCTAGAACTGGCTACCACTTCTCAAGTATTGATTCTACTTTACTTTTCTGTGCATATTACCCTCGGTCATTCTTTTGTCAAAATCTGAGTCATTAAGGTTTACCTTAGAATGTCATTCTTTCCTTATTGTTTGTCTCTTGCTCTGATTAAATTATTCCATCTGCAAAACTTCCCTGGGAGCTCAGATACCTATAGTGGTATTTATTTATTTTATCTCATTTTTCCATTAGTTTATCTCTTACCTAGAATGTTCATTTCTGGGGAGCCTGGACAGCACTTTCTTCTTTAGTTGCCTTGGCTCTCTCAGCATCTCATCTTTGGCTGATGGAAATGTTAGGCTTTCCCCAGATTTCTGGCAAATGCAAGGTAAATTGATATGTCCAACATGTGTGGGAAGGGAATGTGTGCATGTGGGCACACTTCTAATTTTCTCTGCTTTCTCAGCTATGCTCACATGCTAGGATTTAAGGAATTATTTTATTCCCAACAGGAAACAGCTTCCTTGTCTTAATAAGAAATGCCCTCATTTCTTCCTCTGAGGTCTCACGATAGGCTTTCTGGAGGAAGAAAATTGTTCATTGAAGTGGTTATGGGGATGACTGTATCATGAGCTCCCACTCTGATTACTTTCTCTCACAGGGTGGGGGTTGGGAGCCAACTGGAGCCCCAGTTACTGCCTTTTCATTTTGCAGAGCAGCTTCCTTTCTGTTTATAGCCTGGCCTGGAGCAACCTTAGGACACTGCCCAGGTTCACCTTTGACCTTGGTGCTTACCAAGGAATTTCATTTCTTGAGTATTAGTCAGCATTAC